TAATGCTAATATTAAAACTAATACTGCTTTTCATAATAATAATAATATTAATAATAATTGCAGTTTGATATAGCTCTTTCACATCTTCTAGACGTCTCAAAGCGCTTCACGGAATATACTGTAAAGTGAATTGACTGCATATTTGTGGGCGAAGCGCGCCAGCCAATTGAGCACAGCAAATGTACCACAAACTGTCGTGGATTGACCTGCCAAATTATTATTTACAGGGAGTCATTGGAGCCTGGCGAAAGGCAGACTCACAGATATATGTACACACACAGAGTCAGACTGACGCCTCAAAAAGCTGACAGAGAGAGACAAGAAACAGTCAGTCCTCCTTACTGTGTATCATAATGAGCACTGGAAACAAATCGACGATGTGATAAGGCAAACCCGAGGATTACTATAATTTGTATTTCTATTATTGTTTGAGCCGGAGGGACTGAGTCACAGGCCCAGACATGTAGAGAATAATAATTTGTTTGTTAAACCACCGGAAAGTAATTGCCAATTAATTAGCCACCGATTAGTGTTCTGTATATAGGTAAGTGTTCTTCCAAGTTGTGTAACGTGACAGCCCATTTGAGAGTGATCACTACTATCCTACACATGGGTTACCAAGGTGTTTCGCTGGTCGAAGCAATTTAATACCCTATTCTTGCTTTTGTTGGCATCCCTGGTAAGTTATCGCTCCGACCAGGAGTTACAGCACTGGCATCACAAGCGAGAGGATCCAGGTGGCACAGGACAGGGAAAAACCTCAGGCAAGTTTCCTTACTCTACACACACACATTGATACACGCACACGCCTCGGTTTACCATCAGTCAGTAGAAATCCGTTGGTTCCTGGATTGGCGGAGCACTTTCCAGGGATAATAATCACTTCAAGATCACAATAATGATAATTTAGTCACTTGAATCACGGCTCGATTCAAGCGTTATTGATATCGATATTGATTATAATAACAATGATGAAATCATACGTTTGACACAGAACCTCTCACCACGGGAGGAAGCTGCACAGCGCTTCACAGCGCTTCACTTTAAAGTGCAGTGACTGCCTGCTTTTTGCTGACAGAGTTTCCTCCACACAATCAGCTGCGAGGTAATCGAGAAGTTTTACCTGTCGGCCAGGACAGAGAGATAGAGTGATAGGTGGATGCATAGATAGATAGGTGGTTAGATAGACAGGTGGTTAGATAGACAGGTGGATAGATAGACAGGTAGGTGGATAGATAGATAGATAGATAGATAGATAGAGAGAGAGAGAGAGAGAGAGAGAGACAGACAGACAGACAGACAGACAGACAGACAGACAGACAGACAGACAGACAGGTAGCTAGGTAGGTAGGTAGGTAGGTAGGTAGGTCGATCGATCGATCGATCGATATATATATATATAGAGAGAGAGAGAGAGAGAGGAGAGAGAGAGAGAGAGAGAGAGAGAGAGAGAGAGAAAGAGAGAGGGGGGGGTGGATGGATGGATGGATGGATGAATGAATGGATACATGGATGGATAGGTGGATAGATGCATAGATAGAGAGATAGAGAGAGAAATAGAGAGATGGAGAGATGGAGAGAGGGAGAGAGGCACGGACAGTCATAGACAGAGAGATAAAGTGTTAGACACAGAAAGAGAAAGACACAGACAGACACACAGTGGCAAAGAGAGAGAGAGACACGAAGGGACAGGCAGAGTGAGCAGAGAGAGGCACAGATGAAGAGAGCTTTTCTTTATACTTCGATTAATCTCCCATTCCCAGTGCAGACTGCAGATACTCACAGACTCTACGTGACCTTCTTCAGTTCTCAGATAATCCCCAGACCATTACAATCAACCCAGTGATTGACTTTGAGCATATGTATGTGAGGGTGAGTGTGTGGAGCCAGTGCAATCCTTTTCCCAATCTCAGTAACCTCTCCGTGTCTCTTCCTTTCTAATCAGTCAATATGGTGGCCATTTTCGTGCTGTGTCGAGGTGACTGTGGCTTATCGAGGTGCGTCACCCGCTACCTGTCGGCCATGCCCATCGCTGACCATCAGGTCTTGGTGACTGACGTGCTGCTGAACCGGTTGAACCGCCTGTAATTCCCCCCGAGTTTCCTCCTCTACCCTCCGGTGTGTAGCCTGGGGTTAGTCCTAATCGTGGCGTCTCTCAACGCCTCCGTTTGTTTCACCGTCGCCTTTACGGTTGACCGTTGTGCTGCCGTGAGCTGCCAGCGTCTCAGAGCGAGATATTGCACCGAGAGGACAGCCAACACAGTCCTGCTGATACTCTCCCTCCTCGGCATTGCGGAGGTCATTCCTTGGTACTTTATGTTCCAACCTCTGCTCGTCATTAACGGGCTGCCGATGCATTGCATTGAACGCCCCACTCTGAGCACCTCACCGACCTGGGCCGCCTTGCGACGTTTCGACCGTCTCGCCAACCCGTTGATCCCCATCGTCGCCATATTCCTCCTCAACGGCTTGACGGTCAGGAAGTTGGTGAGCTCCAACAGGGCCAGGAGAAGGCTGAGAGGCGCGAGCGCAGAGGACAGAGACCCGGAGATAGAGAGCCGCCGGCGGTCCATTGCTCTCGTCTTTGCCATCACCGGGTGCTTCGTGCTGCTGTGGTCGAACAGTGTGGTATATTTTCTGGGCTGGTCGCTACAGAACTACAGCTACCTGGCGGGCGGGAGACAACGCCCCCTGTATATTGCACAGCAAACAGGCTTCATGCTGGTGTTGCTCAGTTGCTGCACCAACATTTTCATCTACGCCGTCACCCAGACTCGCTTCCGCCAGGAGATTAAAAAGGGCGTCGAGGCTTTGCTCGCTCTGACTCCGTTACACACCTGTCGCCATCAGTAAAACGGGAAGGCAGCAAACGCAACAGTTTCGGCGTCTGTCGCCCGTGTTAGTCTGTGTGTCGGTGTGCGCGCCAGACCGACCCCGAATGTTTGTGTGTCTATGCGCATCCGTGTGTGCATTAGCCCGGATCTGTGTATATTTGTTTGGAGCAATGGTTGGAGCACTCGCTTTGCAAGCCAGAGACCTGGGTTTGATTCCTGGCAGGTCAGGGCGAAATCTTGGGGAAGTTTCCTTACTCCACAGGCCTGACCGCAAGTCCTCATAAAAAACAGTCAATTGGTCGCTTCAGTCCACGGCTATTTGTGGGGTCGCTGCTGTGCGCAATTGGCTGCAGCGTTACGCCCACAAATATAGTCAATTGACTTTATATTATAATCTGTGAAGCATTAACTCATGTAATTTTACTTCATTCATTTTTTATCAATCATGCACTAACTCGCCCACCATCTGTCTCACTCTCTCTCCCGCACTCTCCCCTCTCTCTCTCCTTCGCTCTCTCCCACCCTCTCAATCTCTACCTCTCTGCGCTTCGCAATGCCCCATCTCTCACTCTCTCTCTCTCTCTCTCCACCCCCTCTCTCCCCGCCCCACTCGCCCTTTCGCACCTTACTTCCGCCATTTCTCTCTCTCTCTTTCTCTTCACCGTTGCTATCCACACACTAATTTCCAGCTCAATTCCCCTACCGCTCTCTCTGTTTGTGCAAGACTGTTGTGCGCAATTGGCTGCCGCACACAAATATGCAGTCAGTTCACGTTACACTATGTTCTTGGAAGCGCTTTGAGTAGTCTAGAAGAAATGAAAAAGCGCTTTGACAAATACAAGGATTATAACCTTGGAGTAACATTGGTGAATGCATTGAAAGATGGAAGCCGCCTCCACAATTTGAGCAACATATAAGTCAGATTAAATTCCAACAGGTAATAATCATAATTGTTGCGCGAAGTAGCATGCTTCACGTTTTCTGGACGTCTCAACGCGCTTCACAGAATACATATTAAGTGAATGGATCGTATCTTTTGTAGGTGAAACTTGGCAGCAGATTGCGCAGTGACCCAAAAAAAAAGTCGTGGATTGAATGACAAATGGATTACTATTTTTTCTTGAGCGAATATTATCAGGCGTGTGGAGCAACTAAACTTGACCAAGGTTGAGTCTGCTGTTCAGTGGTCAGTGCTCTTTCCTCGCAAGCAAGAGACGTGGGTTCGTTTGCCCGGAAGGTGAAATAATGGGCAAGTTTCCTTTTTCCACACGCCAACATTTCCTTAGCAACCACTAGGAGCTTGGGTGTTATTCGATTAACGAATTGCTTATCTGGAGATAATAATCCTTCCAAAAATATAATGGTTTTGTCAATTCAATCCACAACTGTTTATGGGACACGGATGTGCGCAATTGGCCTACGCGTATGGCCCACAAAATGCTGTAGCCAATTGTGCACAGCAGCATCCCACAAAGATTTCATGCTCGCACTTCCCTACTTTACTGACCTAGTAACTTCCAACATCTCCAAAATTAAACCCCAACAGCCTCCGCTCAGCCTTCTCCTGCCTCCTGTTTCTCTCTGACCACCTCGAATCCAGCATTGGATCCCGTGCATTTAGTCGCTGCAAATCGAAACTTTGGAATTCTCTACTTTCTTTCTTCTGCATCCCCCACCCCAACCCCGCCCCTGAACACCCAACCCCCTCTTCCTCCATACTATCAAATGCTGCCTAAAGACACATTGTTCAGGGTCAGGGACAAAACCAAGGCTAAGACCGTCGAAGGCCAAACGCAACCCCAGCCCAGAATCTAAATGAATCCTCCAAACTCATTGACATACATCCTGTTTTGTTATGTGAACTGTTCTGGCGCTCTAGAACGTCCTCCCCACGTGAAAGACTCCCAACTAACGCAAGTTTGTTGTTGTTTTTTTTTGTTCACCTCCCAACTAAATTAGGTCACCTCCCAACTCGCGCTCCCATGAATTGTTTCCAGAGTCTGCCACTGTCGTGCGCTCGGATGTTTCCCACTTGAAGAGCACAATACATAAATATTTTTGTTGTTTTGTTTTCGAACATCTTTCTCTCCTTAAGCTTTTTGCTCAGTCTATCTATCCGTCTAACTCTCTCTCTCTCTAACACACATTATATCAGATCAATCCGAATATCTTCTATGTTCACATATTTAATCCTTAATCGTTAATCACGGCACATAACATGCATCGAGAAAATCTCCCAACAGCAAAAGTGTCAAACACAATCTATTATCGGCATCATTAGCAAAACCATGACAGAGAGGGAGACGGAGTGATCTGGGGAATGGGGTTAGAGAATACAGGTTCAGTGCGGGATACCGAGCACAAGTGCAGAGAGAGAGAGCCGGGAAGAGGCGTTAGAGCAGAAATCTCCAGTGTGGAGAAAGCGAGCACAAACAGGATGGGGAAGTGAGAGATGCAGTCTCCACACATCAGCCTCCGAGGCACTTGTGCACCACCGTGACGCAAATGCTGTCCTTCATGGTAATGTCGCAAAGCTTCTTCATTTTCTCCAGCTCCGAAGATTTCCAGTAGAGGATCTGGGATTCTACCGGGATTCCCATTTCCCGGGATATCGCGTTCTTCAGCTCGTAGACTCTCATATGCATTGGAATCTGCAGAGCCCTCTGCTTCCCCTCGCATGTCTGCACACAGACAGTGATGTTCGGGAGAGATTTGCGGGCGCTGGAGACCAGCGGGTCAGACACCCCAGGGTGGAGGTGATAGGCCGTCAACTTCACCCCCTCCTGAGGCTTTGGGGTTTCAGATTGCCTCGCGAGGGCCACACCCACCTCCTGAAACTGGGCAACAAAACAGATCGATAAACACGGATTCTTAACACGCTTTGTTATATACATCATATATTATTCATTACTTCAGTAAGACTTGTGTCAGCCTGGCTCAGTGGCTGTGTGTCAGCCTGGCTCAATGGCTGTATGTCAGCCTGGCTCAGTGGCTGTGTGTCAGCCTGGCTCAATGGCTGTATGTCAGCCTGGCTCAATGGCTGTGTGTCAGCCTGGCTCAGTGACTGTGTGACATCCTCACTCAGTGACTGTGTGCCAGTGTGGATCAGTGACTGTGTCTCAGCGTGGCTCAGTGACTGTGTGTCAGCCTGTCTCAGTGACTGTGTGTCAGCCTGTCTCAGTGACTGTGTGTCAGCCTGTCTCAGTTTCTCCCCAGTAAGAAGGTAGTTTGTTTGATACGCCCCAGTACACACCTGGGCTCGGAAGCTGCGATGTCTAAGCTGTCCAGCGCTGGAGCCCGAGACAGAGAGTTTCTCATTGTCAACGAAGTTCAAATTGTTTGACTCCTCGTCCTTGCCCTGCTCAGCGCAAATGTTATAATTCTAATCACTGCATTTTTAACACTGTTCTCGTCTTTTTTGGACGTCTAAAAGCACTTCTCAGAATGTCTCTGTCTCTCGCACCAGCGCTGGACAGCTCAGACAACGCAGCTTCCGTTCTCAGGTGTGTACTGGGGCGATTCAAACAAACTGTCTTCTTTCAGAACTCTGCAGCTCGTGTACTGTCCCACAACAGCCTTAGCGACCACATGAATCCCACCCTCGCTCGCCTGCACTGGCTCCCCATCCCCGAGAGGATCGAATTCAAGATTCTCATCCTCACCTACAAGGCCATTTACGGCCTCACTCCCTCCCACCTCTCTGACCTACTATCCCCCTACCTACCTGCCCGTACCCTCCGTTCCTCAGGCTCCGGTCTGCTGCACATCCCCCGCCGTTACCGCCCTACCATCGGTGGTCGGACCTTCAGCGTCTCCGATCCAAATTTCTGGGACTCCATCCCCCAGTGTCTTCGCGTTGCCGCCACCCTTTCCTCCTTGAAGGCCGGTTCCAAGACCTTTCTTTTTGACCGAGCCTTCAGCTCCCCTATCGATTCTCTACCCCTCCTCGCTCTCTCCCTATGCTCCCATCATTCTCAACATATCCCCCCTCCTCGTTCCCTCCCTTCCCTCCCCTCACCCTGACCATTTCCCCCACTGCTCGTGTCTTGACCCAAATGAACAGCGCCGTGGGACGTCCTCCCGACGTGAAAGGCGCTCTATAAATGGAATCTTGTTGTTGTTGTTGTACTGTACAGTGAATTGACGATATATTTCATGGACTAAACGCGGCAATCAATTACATACAACAGTGTCCTACCAACAGTTATGCATTGAGTGATCAATTATTATTGTTTTTATTTTCTTGAGGGATTATGATTAGGTGTGTGGAGTAAGGAAACTTGCCCAATGTTTCACGCTGCTGGGTATCGATTCAACGTCTCTTAATTGCGAGGCAAATTATCTAACCAATGAGCTAACATGGACTAAATAAATAAAAATAACATGGGCTTCATGATAAGCATCTCCCACTCCACTAACTTTAGGAGAATATAATTTCTTTCTCCTTCTCTTTTAGTACTTCTATCACTTTCAACATCTCTTAATTTCTCTTCCTTTCTCCCTGTGTTTTTCGCTGTGTTACTCTTTCTCTTTTTCTTCTCTCTCTCGATATCTCTTAGTTTCTCGCTCTCAAAATGTCTCCTTCCCAGTTTCCTTCTCTCTGTGTGTCTCTCTCGCTCAAAGTCTTAGTTTCGCTTTCTCTCTCGCAATCTCTCTCACCTCAATCGCTCCCTGTATCTGTCTCTCTCTCTTAATCTCTTTCACATTTTCACTCGCTCTCTCTGAGATCATAATTCTCTCCCGCATTCTCTAACTCTCAGATACATTCTGAGTCTATGTCACTCTCTCCCGGTGTCTCTCTCTCAGTCTCCCGCACATTCTCTCTCTCTCTACCTCTCTCTCACCCTGTTTCAGTCTCTTTCTCTGTCTCTCCCGCAAAACACAGTCACTACACTTTATAATATATTCACCACCGCTCTCTCTCTCTCTCTCTCTCTCTCTGTCTCTCAGTCTACCACGTTTCTGGTGAACTGGCTGACAGATAAATCAGCTCACTGAACTAGTGTCTGTTAATTGGTTTTGTCTAGAGGTCTGAAAACGCTTAACAGAACTGTAGAGTGAATTGAATGTATATTTCGTGGCATGAACGCGGCGTCCAATTGCACACAGCAGTATCCTACAGTTGTGCATTGTGGGGTTTTTGTTCAACTTCTCCCACTCCGCTAACTTCGGGAAAAGCCAGTTTCGCTCTCATTCTCTTTTAGTACAACAACAAGATTCCATTTATTGAGCGCCTTTTACGTCGGGAGAACGTCCCAAGGCGCTGTACAGTTAGGTCAGGACCCGAGCAGGGGGAAATGGTCAGGATGAGGGGAGGAAAGGGAGGGAGCGAGGAGGGGGTAGAGAGTCGAGATGGGAGCAGAAGGCACCGGCTATCATTCTCAGAATCTCTTAGTATCTCTCTCTTTCTCGTTGAATTTTGCGCCATGTTTCCATTGGTCAGTTTTTTCTCTTTCAAAACCTTAGTTTCTCCTTCTCAAAATGTCTCTCTCCCAGTTTCCGTCTCTGTGTGCGTTTCTCTCTCGCTCAAAATCTTAGTGTCTCTATCTCTCGCAGTCTCTCTCACTTCAACAGCTCCCTGTATCTGTCTTTCTCTTAGTCGCGTGCACATTTTCTCTCGCTCTCTGTGGGATCATAATTCTCTCTCGCAGTCTGTCTCCAACTCAGTTCTGAGTCTCTACCACCTTCCCCCGCTCTCTCTCTCTCTCTCTCTCTGTCTATCGCATATTTTCCATCTCTCTCTCTCTCTCTCTAACCCCCTCTCGCCCTCTCTCTATCTTTCTCTCGCCTCCTCTGTCTCTCTCTCTTTCTCTGTCTCTGTGTCTCTCCCGTAAAACACATTCACCGTACTTTATAATATATTTACGCTCTCTCTCTTCTCTCTCTCTCTCTAAACCCTCTCTCGCCCCCTCTCAATCTCTGTCTCGCCTCCCCTCTCTCTCTTTCTTTCTCTATCTCTGTCTCTGTGTCTCTCCCGTAAAACATATTCACTACACTTTATCATATATTCACGCTCTCTCTTTCTCTCTCAAACTCGCACACTTCTGGTGAGTGCTTGACAGATAAAGCTGCTCACTGGACTGCTGTTGATAGAGCCGTCACTGTGAGCAGACAGGCGCTGCCAGGTTAAACACACAGTCACCACACTGTACAGTGAGATTCTGCAAATCACTTTGAAATGTCATCAAAGGGACGGGAAGCGAAGAGTCAAACGTGAGATCATTGTTATTGTTTTGTCCAGTTAAAATTTCTTAGTCATTTCAAAATTTAAACCTTGCCCATGTTAAATTCTTACCAGATCATATTTGACTGTGCGCTGAAGTGCCGTCATTCTTCTGTCTGTTTCTCTCGCCCTGTCTTTCTCCTTGTCTTACAGGCTGCCAATGAGCTTGTGTTTTATAGCGAAGATAATAATCGGCTCGATACCGGGATTTCTCAACAAAAATACCCTGATGAGCGCAAAATGAAAGAGAAAGTGAGTTTATTGGATTACACGGGTGTGATCTTGTTGCTCAATCTCTCGCCCTCTGGCCTCTGAGTAACAAGGTTCACGCTTTTGAAATCTTAGTTTAGTTTGGATACCCACAAGGATGGTGATGGGTTTCCATATATAATAGACACCCGGCTGATCCAACCAACCCACAACAACTCCTAAAATAAATTCTACTTTCAGTTCTTACTGGCTGCATGGCTGCTACCAGCAACATCCTGGTGAGATTTCGTAGCAGTTTGAAAAAATCAATGAGTTATATTGTTGAGTTCCCCTTTTAACATCAAACCTCCAATAAGAGAAACCATAATTATAACAACAATAAGGCTTGCATTTTGATATAGCGCTTTTCACGTCTTCAATACGTCTCAAAGTGCTTCAAAGCATATAACGTAAAGTGAATTGACTCTATGTTTTTGGTCAAAATGTGTCAGCGAATTGTGCACAGCAGCGTCCCACAAACTATCGTAGACTGAAGTGACCAATCTATTATTTTGTTTTCTTGAGATATTATTATCAGTCTTGCGGAGCAAGGAAACGTGACCTGGCGGGAATTATGTGTCTCACTTGCAAATCGAGTGCTAGAACCATTGAGCTGCAGGACTCCTTGTTTTGACATCGTACCTTCTCTCGTTTTTGAAACATTCAAAGCGCTTCACAGAATATATTGTAAAGTGAATTGACTGTAAAGTTTGAGGCAGCCGAAATTTAAACTCTATTCAAGATTTAAGGATATTAGGCAAGTCCATTATTTATTGAACTCACTTAAATGCACACTTTAACATCAGAGAAAATTCCCCTTGATTTCCCAGCGATGTTTTTGTGCATAAATCACTCATGGGGAAACCGGTCAATGTGATCGCTTTTTTCACGACTGTTTCTGGGAAGCTGATGTACACAATTGGCTGCCATGTTTCGTCCACAAATATAGTCAGTTCACTTTACAGTATATTCTGGGAAGTCCATTGAGACGTCTCGAAGACGTGAAAAGCGCGATATCAAATGCAATGATTATTTTTATAACATAACATAACATGTATGAGCAGGAGTAGGCCATTCGGCACTTCGATCCTGCTACGCCATTCAATCATGGCTGATTTTCTTATCTATCTCCAGCTAATAACGTGACGCTGCCTTTTCCCAATTTCCCTTAAACCCTTTCGCAATAAGAAACATATCTACCTCAGTCTTGAATATGCTCAAGAACTGAGCGTCAAAACACTGTGGGGTAGTAAGTTCCATACATTCACCACCCTTTGAGTGAAGAATTTCTTCCGCAACTCAGTGCGAAAGCGCTGGCCTCTGACTTGAAGGTTGTGACCCTGGTTTTTGGTTTCTCCAACCAGGGGAAACAATCTCCCACTATCTACTCTGTCATGCCCTTTGATGATCTTATAGTTTTCTATAAGATCCCCTCTAATTCTTCAATATTCTGGAGAATATAGGACCAAATTGGTCAGCCAATCTTCGTAACTCGTCCCCTTCTCCGCTGCATATCCCTCCAAAAGAAAAAAAAATTGGTCATTTGTAATCCACGACTGTTTGTGTGAAACTGCTGTGCGAAATTGGCTGCCGCGTTCGCCCACAAACATTCAGTCAATTCACTTTGCAGTGTGTTCTGTGAAGCGCTTTGGGACGTCATCCCGACGTGAAGAGCGCTGTATCAAATGCAAGGATTATTATTATTATTATTCTGTGATGCGTTTTATAACGTAGAGAAAACGAGAAAAGCGCTATTGTTATATTATTATTGTACTATTGTTATATCAATGCCTAGCAGAAATCTATCTATTTTTGTCGTGAAATAAATTACACTCTCTACTTCGTGTTCAGTACAGAATAAAACAGTTTGCCATATTCTACATTATCAATTCTTTGAGAATCTTCAAGATAAAACCCTGTCTGCTGCTTCTATTTGTGCCTTTCTTTGTCTCTTTTCCTCTGTGTTTCTGTGTACCTGTGTCACATCAACATGTGTCAGACACAAACACGCTAACAGAGAGCAACACACGTTAGCGCATATAGACACAAGTACAGAGACAAACACAGAAACACACACAGACATTGACACTAATTCAGAAAGAGATAGACACATACAGACATATACACACACACAAATAGAGACACAATGATACACACTCGCAGTGTCAGAGAGAGAGACACAGAGAGGTGCACACCCACAGACTCACAGACAAACAGACACACGGTGAGACACACGCAGGCACAGATAGAGACATAACACGTTGCAGTGATTGGAAACGCGTCACAAGTCACCAGGCAGATGGCAGTTCTGAAGGTTAGAAAGAGAAACGCAGACCTTTTTTNCAGGTAATACCTGACACATAATACACATACAGACACAATGACAACCACAGACATGGAGAGGAATGTACAGTGACACACACAAGACGACAAAGACGAAAATGAAACGGAAAGAGCGAGAGAAACAGAGAGACAAACGTAGAAACGGAGGGCACACACACATACACACACACACTGACAAACATACACACACTCATACAATGTCATGCTCACACAGAGATAAAGTGTGAGCAAGAGATGCAAAAAGGTAAACGACAGCAGACAGAGGGAAACAGAGTGACACAGATTCAGAGACACGAACACAAAGAATAAAATCATAATAATAATGCTTCCATTTGATTAAGTAGCTTCACAGTAAATTTTTNGTTCCCAGCAACCCCAGCCAATTGTGCACAGCAGTAACCCACAAATAGACATCGATTAATTGACCAAATTATTATTTTAACATAATTGTTTTAAAAAGGACTATTACCCATACAAAGAAATAAAAAGATACGGAGTAGACAACAATAAGCGAGAGCCACACTAAGTGACAGAAGGACACGCATACACAGTCACAGCAGACACAGAGACAGACAAACATATCGATTCTCCCCCAAATCACATACACAGATAGACACACACAACTACACCCAGCCCCCACATAAACACACACACATATAGGCACATAAGAACCGAAGTAGGCAACTCCACCCATCGAGCCTGTTCCGCCACTTAATTAGATCATGACTGATCTATATCTTTAATAGATTTTCAAATCTAATTTACCGCTTTCTCCCCGTATCCTAATACCCCGACATACCAAAAATCTGTCAACATCTTTCTTGAAGTTGTGGATGGATCCATCATCCACGACCTTTTTGGGGAGAGAGTTCCAGATTTTTGCCACCCTTTGAGTGAAAACATGCTTTTTAATTTCACTCTTAAATGGTCTGTTTCTAATTTTAAGACTATATCCCCTTGTTTTGCATTTCCCCAACATAGGAAATCGCTTTTCTGTATCTATCCTATCAGATCACTTTATCAGCCTGAAAACCTCTATGAAATCACCACTCAATCTTCTAAACTCGAGAGAATACAATCCAAGTTGACGCAACCTTTCCTCGTAACTAAACCTTTTGGGCCTGGAAGCATTCTGGTGAACCTGTGCTACATTCCCTCCAAGACCAATATATTTCTCCATTGGTGTGTTGCCCACAATTGATAGGGTCTGACTAACGCTGCATACAGCTGAAGCATCATTTCTTCCCCGTTGTATTCCAGGCCTCTCGAGATAAAGGATAACATACCTTTTGCTTTTTTCATTAGTTTTTGTACTTGGTTTTAGAGATTTGTGGATATAGAGACCCAAATCTTTTTGCTCTTCCACAGCTCTTAATTTCTCCCCGTTAAGCAAGTAATCTGCGCGTAACGTATGATCTCCAACTTCTTTACATTGAACTCCATCTGCCATAGCTTTGCCCACTCACTTTGTCTGTCTAAGTCAGTCTGTAACTTCATATTCCCACCTCCACTACTTGCTGAGCCTCCTATCTTAGTGTCATCCCCAAACTTGGATACAAAACTTTCTATTTCTTTATTCAAGTCATTTATATTTGTGCAAAAAGCTGTGGTACCAGAACATATCCCTTGGGGACACCACGTGTCACGTCCCCGCAATCAGAGAACGTTCCCTTATCCTTAGTTTTCTGCCTCCCAACCAATTGCGAAACCACATCACAAGGTTACCTCCGATTCCGGACGCTTCGACTTTTTCTAATAATCTTTTGTGTGGAACCTTAAAAAATGGCTTCTGAACCTCCTTGTAAACGATATCCATCGACACTCTCTTATCGACTACTTTAGTGACTTACTCATAAAATTCAACTAAATTAGGTCGGCACGACCTACCCTTGACAAAACCATGCTGACTCACTTTGATAAGCTCATAGCTCTCCAACTATTGAGTCACTGTGTCCCTGATGAAGGATTCCAGTAATTTCCTTACAACTGACGTTAAACTGACAGATTTGTAATTGCCTGGTTTCTGCCTCCTTCCCTTCTTAAATAAAGGTGTAACCAATGCATCCAAGTTCCTCTCCTATTTCCTTTAATACCGAGGTGTTGAAACTGTTAGTTTCTAGAAATTTGCCCATTTTGAGACTGACTATTTTCTCCCTAACTTTTCTATTGATAGTTAGTTTAATAACTAATTATTTTTTGTCTATTTCCATGTTCCTTTGTATGCGTGGTATTTCGTCTTCATCTTCTACTGTAAAAACTGTAGCAAATTACTTATTTATCTAGTCAGCCATATCTTTATTTTCCATTATAGTCTCACCTCTAAATGTATTTAATGGACCCACATTCGCCTTTACCATTCTCTTTTTCATGATATATTTATAAAAGCTCTGACTGTTGGTTTTGATGTCCCTCGCAAGGTTTTTATTCATACTCCCTTTTTGCTACTTTTATTACCTTCTCCATCACGCTTTGTTGCCTTTTGAATTTCTCCCATGCCTCTGCATTCCACTATCTTTTGCATTTTACTAAGCGTCTTCGTTTAGCTTGAGGGAATTTTTAACCAATTTTGTCCACCATGGTTGTTTAACTGCATGATTGGAGCCTTTGTATTTTAGAGGTATATAGTTGTTCTGCACAGTATCAAGAACTTTTTTTTGAATGCTTCCCATTGCTCATCTGCAGATTTGCCCACTATAATAATAATAATAATAACCCTTGCATTTGATATAGCGCTTTTCACGTCTGGAGGACGTCCCAAAGCGCTTCACAGAAAACACTGTAAAGTGAATTGACTGTATATTTATGGGCGAACGCGGCAGCCAATTGCGCACAGCAGTGTCCCACAAACAGTCGTAGATTGAAAATGACCAATTTATTATTATTTTGGTTTTGGAGGGATTATTATTAGGCGTGTGGAGTAAGGAAACTTGCCCAAGGTTTCGTCCTGTGCCTGGAATTGAACTCATGTCTCTCGCTTGCAAAGCGAGTGCTCTAACCACTGAGCTACAGGACTCCACTAGCATTTCAGCCCAGTTTTCTGTGGTCAATACTTCCCCATCCCATTTAATTGTGCCTTGCTTAAATTTAGCAGCTTGATTTGGGACTCGCCATTCTCACTCTCGAATATCATGTCAAATTCAATCATACTATGATCGCTATTTTCAAGGTGTTCCCTTACTCTCGCATTATTGACTAAATCTGGCTCTTTGCTCATCATCAAATCTAGTATGGCCTGTTGTCTTGTTGGTTTCAACAGGTATTGCTCCAAAATGCAGTCCTGCGGACATTCAAGAAATCCGTTATCTTTATTACGTCAGGTATTCTGCTTCTATCCAGTCTATATGAAAGTTAAAATCTCCCCTTACCACGTTAATTTTGCAACATGCTTCACTGATCTCCGTATTTGTATATTTTCCCATAAATCACAACTCTCTGGAGGGCTGTGGACAACTCCTCAAAGAATCTTCCTTCCTTTGCAGGTCACTATTTCTACTAAAAGTGCTTTGAATACCTGGTTGGCCTTATTGGATTCTCTCATTTCCACTGTTGTAACAGTCTCTTCAAACAATATTGTTTATCTTCCTCCTTTCCTTATGTTCCTATCTTTTCTAAAGATTTTACAGCCTGGAATATTTAGCTCCGAATACTGCCCAGATTGCAACCAACTGTCTGCAACTGCTATTACATCATACCCTTTAAGCTGAATTTGTGCTTTCAGCTCACGTGTTTGATTTCGTATGCTACGTGCATTTGTCTGTATAATTCTTATTTGTGTAACTTTCACCAACTTGCCTACATGCTCTGATAATATTTTAATGTCACACTTTGATTTGCTACACCTTGGGTACTAAATTCCTATGACCTTTATTTTCCTATCGTGTTTATGTTATCTTGATCGTTACTTTTGTCCTCTACTTGCCCAATATTGTTGTTATTTTTAACATCCAAACACCCTTCCTCTTTACTATTTTAAAGCCTTTTCAAACGACCTCCATCTACCTTCCTAACTCACCATTTTGCCAGGACATTTGTCCCAACTTGGTTTACGTAAAACACATCACCGCAGAAAAGCTCCTGCTTCACCCAAAACTGATGCCAGTGGCCCATCATTTGAAACTCCCGCACCACG